TTGAAACATCATCTTCATATGACAGGCCAAAGAGTCCCCTGGGATACAAGATGTTTAAGACCGTTAACCAAGAATCAGAAATAGTTTGCGATTAATATCGAGGTTTTGTTTATGAGCACAGATAAATCCCAGGTCTAGGGCTGACCTGTAAAAATCTGTCTGTGAGGAAAACTCTGATTGCAAATGATGGAATGGGAAGATAATCTGAAGACAAAGGAGTGACTGGGGGACAGAGCTGCAGTGCGTAGAAGCTAATATTTTCTGTCCATAAATTTGGATGCTGTCCACACATTCCTAGTCACCAACTCAAAGAAATATGATAAAGATTAGGACTTTACATGGTTGATCTACAGACCACCTAGGTTTTGTAAGTAGGCTGCACCACAGGGGGCAGTTTTTCTTTCCAGGATTGCTGAAGCAGGTGCTGTCTCTTCCCTGCTTCTATCACTAAATTGAGGAGTCAACATAGAGGAAGATTCGTCGGCACTGGAGCTTTGCATTGCCGAAAGGAAGGCGGGGGTCTCATGGAGACAGGCTGCTTCAGGGGTGGTCAGTGGAATTCTAAGAATCCCAACCTGGACGGGACTTTTCCTTGGTCTGGAGCCCATCACAGGCTGTCCATGGCTTCTAGCATGAAGTCCAACCTTTAGGATCTTCACCTGGCTTGCAAAATTCTCTGTGCTGTGAGCTCCCTTTCCAGGCACACGCCCCCTCACAGCAGGCTTTTGTGACTCAGTACATGCCCTGTCACTTCTTGGTCCCTTTTCAGAACCAGCAGCTTCTGCCAGGATGGGAGAGGTAGTGTGTTAGTCAGCTTTCTGTCATTTTAATGAAATGCCTAAGATAATCAATTTAAAAAGAGGAAAGGTGCATTTTGGCCCACAGATTTGGAAGTTTCAGCCCATGGCTTGTTGTCCCTGTTGCTTTTGGGCCTGTGGTGAGTCAGTACATCATGATGGGAGCTCGTGGTGGAGGAAGCTGCTCCCCTCATGGTGGCCAGGAAGCAAAGGGAAAATGACAAAGCTAGGAGTGTCCCACACAGGAGCATGCCTGTAATGGCCTACGTTCTTGCCTAGACTCCCCCTCTTATTCTGTCACCTCCAACAATGCCAAGTTAGAGACCAAGCCTGGACTACATGGGCCTTTGGGAGATGCTTAGGATCCAAACTATAGGAGGTGATTTCTCGCTGTTTTGACTTTCTAATAAATGCTGAGCATCACTTTTCCCTTTGGTGTTGTGACCTCACAGGACACAGAATGAACACAGCTCCCTGCCTCACTGATGTTGGATTTGGCCAAATGACGAGCTAGGACCGGTGGGAGGGACTCTGAGCTGATGTCTGGGGAGGCAATGCATTTCTTACATTTGCTTGTGCTTTTTTGACAAGCAGTGAGAAAAATGTGTCTCTGGCAGCTGGGGCAAACTGGTTGCGTGAAGCAAATTTAAACCCAGCCTGGACTGAGAGCCAGCTCCAGCTGACTTGCGGTCTGAAGTAAAGCTGTCCCAGCCAAATGACAGGCCTGTAAGTGAAAAAGATAAATGCTTGTTTTTGGAAGCCCTTGAGTTTGATGTGGCTTGTGATGCAGCATCAGTGAGGCCATAGCTGGTTTATACACTGACACCTTTGGTGTGAACCTCTGAGGAAGCACGTGGAGAAGATAGCGTCTTTGGAGTTTGAAGGAATTTAAGATATCAGACCTGGTGCTCTAAGCTCTCGGAAAAGTCTACACTCAGTGTGGTGCCAGGTCTAACATGGCATGGCAGAGGCAAAGCAGCCTGTCTCAGTCACTTTTCTTGTCTCTGAGACACAGTATCTGACACCCATTGAAGGAGGGCAGGTTTATTTCGGCTCACAGTTTCAGAAGTGTCAGTCCACAGTCGGCAGGTTCCGATGCACAAATAACATGGGGGAAGGATCTGGATGGTGAAATCTTCATACCATAGCAACCAGGAAACAGAGATCAGAGGTATGAGCTGGGGAGTGAGATATACCACTTCCGGGTCACACCACCAGTGACCCGCCTCTTCCCACCAGTCCTCACCTCCTAACAGCGTACTCATCTGCTGAACTCATCAGCCGATGAATCCACTGATGAGCAGAGGGCCCCCAGGATCAAATCACCTTCCACACACTGGGGACATTTTAGATTTAGACCATAACACAGCTCTGGAGAGGCAAGAGGTCTGGATAGAAGGGATAGAGATAGTGCTCCTGGGTGGACAGTGATGCTTAGGTAAAGACAAAGAATTCCCAAGTGGCTGGTGGGTGATGAGGAGCCACTAGCAGAACTACTTGACCTGTATATTAGAGGTAAACACAGAGAGAGCTACAAAGTGTCTTTTAGCACTTCAGTTCATGGAAGACTTGCATTATCTACCTGATCCCTTCAGGGCCAGACAGGATGGGATTATGACCTAACAGGACTCAAGGTCACTGTTTCCGTCCCTCTCCTGACACCTTCTTGGAAATGAATAGGAGGGGAGAAACTGAGTGGGAAACGTAAGACTTGATGGATTCTGACTTTAAATTAGCTGAGAACACACCTGAAAGAAACTATACAAAGTCGAAAGAGACTAAGCTAGGTTTAATGAAGAGGTTGAAGTTCTTTTGCTCTGGGTTTAGTTTGTTATAAGAGGAAAGTGTGATGGCTTGGGTATGAGGTGAGGGGCTATTAGTAAAAGATTATTATTATTATTACTTATGGAACATCAAAGTTGTAGTAATTATTGATTCCACTTTCTACGACCTGAATGTTGGACTCTAAAGTTCATACGTTGGAACTGAATCCCCATGATGATATTATTAAGTGGGGAACTTTGCAAGGTGATCAGGTCTTGGGGACCTTGAGCTCACGGCTGCAGTTGTTGCTATTGCACTAGGGTGTGTATGAGTGTTTCTATAGGAACAGAACCAGTAGAATGTATATATTGGTAATTGTTATGGCTTGTATCTATCTTGTTTAAAAAAGAAAAGAAACTAGTGGGCAATATGATTGGTTAGTCCCCAGCATTAGTGTCAGAGGGGACAGGAGGCCATCCCTAATGGCACCTGAGGTGAGAATGGGGATGGCTCAGAGGACATTTAGTGATTCCTGTGCAGCACTTTGGGTAGAAAGGTTGGATGGTAATGGTCTCCCAAAGATGTCCATGTCCTGATCCCTGGTATCTGTGAATCTGCTATCATACATGGTGAAAGAGACTTGGCAGATGAAACAAAGTTGGGGATCTTGAGATGGAAGATTATCTTGGATTACCTACGTGAGTACAATAGAGTCACAAGGCTCTGTATGAAAAAGGCACATGAGTAGCAGAAAGCAGACCATGGAAGTAGAGACTGGACTGCGGAGGCCATGTGCTGAGAGACATGGGCGTCCTCTAGAAGCTGGAAGAGGCAAAGAACGTATTCTCCCCTGGAGGCTTCCGAAGGAACCAGCCCTGCCCACACCTTGCTGTTAGCCGCAGGAGACTCATTTTTAGATATCTGACTTCCAGAACTGTAGGAGAATAAATATGTGTTGTTTGAAGACTTCACTAAGTTCATTTGTTTTGTTTTAAGCAGCAATGGAAAATGAATACAAGCTGGAAGCAATACAATAGTCCAGCAATAGGGGATTGTGTGACAGACTCTAGTTTTGTAAATAAAAACACAGTAGGATGGTGTGTAGAGCTGCAGTTGTACGTCTGGGCATTTGAGGTGAACAGATGTGGCTTCTGACTCTATTCTATCTTTCTAGGCCCTTTCTCGGCCTCTACTTCTTCGTGTGTAAAATGGGGACGCCAGCCTCACGGTGTTGTTGTGGCAGTTAAACTGTGCCTGCTGCACAGTAAGCACTCACGCAGTCCTGCCTCAGTTACTTTCCCAGGGCTTTCCGTCACCCACTCTTGAAGGAGAAGAAGCCTATTTTGGCTCATGGTGTCAGTCCACGGTCAGCTGGCTCCAAAGGCAAAAAACAGCACAGTGAAAGGACACTTCAGAATGTGAAAGTGTTTAGAGTTTTAAAAATGCCTCATTCTCAAATAATGTACTAGAGTTTGTTTGTGCTTCTCTAGTAATGTTTTTGTTATTTTAAGTTTTACAAGTTAGTTGCAAAAAAAATATGAAATTGTCAATTTTAAAAGTATGAAATACATGGCTGTACTTTTCGGTGCAAAGCAATACAGAATGCATGGCTTTCCACCAAAATGCTCTTGTCCACATTGTTTGCTCCCAAGTCTTGACTTGGCAGAGGCTCCCAGTGAGAGCATCAGCACCCAGAGCTGGGGAAGGGTGTGGCGGGCTCAGAGAGCAGAGCTTTTGGAGGTCAAAGGGCAGGTTGGAGCATCTCGGACACAGAATAGATGGGTTTTTGTTTGATACTTGACTCTGGGACAAAAAGACAATGTTAAGATATTTTGCTATGTCTGCATAAGAAAGAAATTAGTTGTGGGTGTTGCTCAGTGAATGACTTACAGCTGTGTCTATACTTTTATTTACGCAGATATTAGCAGATGGGAAGAACTTTATTTTTTAATATTAGTCTAACACACATATTGGATGTTCACCTTGTACCAGGCAGACCGTGACTGGGTTTGGGCAGGAAGTGATGGGTGAATGAAGAGAAACACATGAATAAGTCAAGCTTGCCAGTTTCAATGAGTTTATTATCTACTTTCATATTTTTCCACATTTGTTTTGTTTTTTCTATTTCTTAAATTTTTTTCACAATTGCTTAATATTTCTATCTCTTAATTTTTTTTGCAAATCATTGGAAATAATTTCCGGACATCAAGAATCCTCATCCCTATGTATTTCAGCATACATCTCTGCTGGACTGAATTGCATCTTCCCCAAGTTCATGTGCTGAAGGTTTCCTCTCCAATGTAATGGTGTTTGAAGGCAGGGACTTGGAGAAGGAATTAGGTTTACCTGAGGTCACAGAGGTGGAGTTTTTGTGATGGAATCAGTGTCCTTATGATAAGAGAGACCAGAGAACTTTTGCCCCCTCTTCCTGCCATGTGAGGACGCAGTGAGAAGGTGGCTATCTTGGGCTTCCATCCAGTCTCTAAAACTGTGAGAATATAAGTTTTTTCATTTATTTCTACTTTTATTTTTTATTTTTGTCTTTTTGAGACAAGGTCTCACTATGCAGTTCAGGCTGGCCTTGAGCTCACTTTGTAGCCCAGGCTGGTCTCGAACTCACAATGATCCTCCTGCCTCAGCCTCCTGAGTGCTGGGATTACAGGCATGCACCACCATGCCTGACATTTTTTCGTTTAAACCCCCCAGACTATGGACTTTTGCTATGGAAGTGTGAGAAGACTAAGACAATCTCCCAAGAATAAGATCACACTCCTGTGTTACCAGATACTGTTATTACTAAGAAAATTAATAGTAGCAAGTCTCGGTTTAAATGTCCCCAGAATGAATTTTACAACTGTTTTGTCTTCATCCACTCTGGTTTGTTGTTACTGGGAGTAAAACCTACATTTGATGGGCACAGTCAGTGGCACTTCTAGTCACTGTATGGCACTTCCTTGCACTGCAGAATCTGGCTTACAAAAGTCACCAGAGGCTGCAGCTAGAGACCATACTCACAAGTGAAATAAATCAGACCTGCACATGCAAACATCATATTGTCTCCCTAGTGTAAGAACCTGAAAGAGTAAATAAGATCCAAAAGGCACAATAGATATAGTGAAAGGGAAAGAGACTGCTCAAAAGGAGAGAACAACTAGGATGAGGGAAAAGAGAAGAGAAAGAAAGAATGAAGGGGAAAAATATGAAAATATATATATATGTATACACACGCAAGATAGCTAAGATAATTGTACTACTAATTTCTATTGGTTTATTGAAAAGAACAGTTAATGTTTAATTGTTTGACCAGTTTTGTATGCCTATATCTGGTTATCTGAGTAATCAGTCTGAAGATAACAATATGTAATATAACAATCATCGTTAATTTCCTATCACCTTGTTTGAAATTCTGTATCATTTTTGTTGTTTTTGTATTGTTTTATGTCTTTGTGTTTGTTAATTTCCTTTTGTTCTTTTCTCTTTAAAATAAAAAGAAGTCACCAGGGTCTACAGAGATAGCCTTGTATTTTTTAGAGTTATATCCAACACTGTGTTTTGTAAGAAAACTTGGACCTTTTCGACTCCCCTTTTTAATTCTACTTACAAAAAATGTAGGCTCTCAGTTTCTGGGCCAGCTGATCCACTCAGGAAAGGATGAAAAGGATTGGAGGGAACTAGGTTGTTGGGCCCCTTCCACACCTGCCAATTTTCACTCGATACAGTTTGATCCAGCAAACCTTCATTAAGTGCCTGCCACGTGCTGGATTCTTTCACCTGTATTACTTTTTTAGATGCTCACAGAAGCTCAGCACAGCAGTTTAGCATGTACAAGTCTCAGGCTAGAACGCCAGGTGCACAAGAAATGTTACTCTATTTTCCTTAAGTCAACTTTTGGCTAAGTTCTTTGCCATCCTACTTCAGTTCATTGGGGGGATTGTCTCTTCTCTGTCGTCTTTCCTTTCTCCACCCACCATACTTAATTCCCTCCACACTCTTTCCCCTTTTGCTCTGCCATTCTCTGCCTCCCACTTTACCTCCTCTAATCCTTTTCCTTTCTGTTCTTTCCTCCTTCACATCTTCCTCTTCCTCTCACCTCCCTTCTGCCTTCTCAGCTGCTCTGAGCTCCTGAGGATGGGCTATCACCCACAGCAGTAGCAGAGAGTTCCCCTGTAGTGGGCACACAGCACGCGTGGGTGGCTGTGATTAATCTTCGCAACTGGCCTGTAGACAAGTTTATTGGTTATGGTACTTTAAGCTGTATGTAACAAAATCCCAGCCAACAGTGGTGTGAGCCAAGAGGACATCTGTCCTTTACTTAACAGCAGGAGGAGCTTGGCCTCTGGCTTTAGCTCAGCTATCCAGTAGTGCCCTCAGGGACTACGGTCTTCTCTGCCACTCTGCTTTGGGCTTATTTCTTCGTTGTTGGGAGACCCCTGTTTGGCCTCACATCCACCTTTAAAGACAAGAGGTAGAGCAAGGACTGTGGATGTGTGAGCCATTCTTTCCTGTGCTTATCTCTTACTATGGAAAGAGTATCTTTTCCTCATCTTCCTTCTCTCACACCATTGGTCCAAAATGTATTATAAGGGTACTGCTAGCTAGAAGGGAGGCCAAGAAACAGGGTATTTAGTTTTTTATTCTCTGAAACAGTGAGAAGAGAAGGCAGGTGGGAATTTCCTTTGGACAGCCCATTAATTCTACCTTATTATTGGCCTCACTTTTCTTTAAAAGAAAGTCTGAGACTCAGAAGAGTTATTATCCCCAAGAGTTAAGCTGATAACAAATGGCAGAAAATCTGTATCTCTTTGATTTCATCTCACGAAAGTTTTTCAATAGCAATTCCTATTGACTGGCTGCGCTCTATAGAGCACGTAACTGTTACCCACCTTCTGTATACACCCATTCCAACAACCCGGAATGCATGCAGTGTTCCAGGGTGCCAGAGCCGGGTGAGAGGGACATAGTGCAGTGGGTTTATGGCTACGCTAGCAGATAATTCAGGGACAGAGCAGTGAGTGCTCCGGTAGAGCTACCATACACAAAGAAGGGTGTGAATGGCTCAGGCTCCAAAATGAAGCTTTCTCAATGTCATAAACTCGAGAAAGTGGCAGATCACACTCAAAATCTGTTCTCCAGTTACAGACTTGTATTCTCTCTGTTTTTGTACCTTCTTCTAAGTACGATAAAGCATACATTTCTAAGCTCAGTGGAGGTGAATTCTGAATGATAGTTCTCTCTACACGGTTCCACAGAAATGGCACTCTGACATAGAGAAAACAAAAGGACTGCCATCTTCAGCGTAACTCCCTGCAAGTCTGATTGAAGTGGTTTTACTAAGAGATGTATTGGTCCCATCTGTGGTTGGTTCAGCAGAATGCAGTTGGCCATCTATCTTCAATCTGAGGTACCTATTTCTCTCCAGTAGTGCCATTTTCCAGTTGATGTAAGTTCCCTCGGCTCAGCACCTGGGTTTGTCTGTGCTGTACATGAAAGGAAGCACCAACTGCTCACAACTTTGAGCTCACTCTTGTGTTTCTCCTTCTTCTCACTGTAGAACCTGAGAATGGAAGTCACTCATGTGTGGATCTCCCTCGGACCAGGCAGAGTCCTGACCTGGTCTCAGGCTCACCCTGATGTGAATTACAGTAAGTGAATGAAGTGGAGAAGGGGAGATTCCATAGAGGACATCCTGGCAAGGGTTTTCATAGCTATGGAAGCCACAGAGGCCTCCGCAGGAGGCGGATCAGGTGGCTGCCTCTGAGCCTAACACCAGAAGGCTGGCAGGGTAAGTGATGATGTGTGGGAACATGGCAGCAACAGTGGGGCCTCCGCAGGTCTGCAGCTGGCTTCCGGCATCATCCCAGCTGCATACCCTCCAGGCCTGGTGTTAAGTACTCATATGGACTTGGTGTGCTACCCAATGCCCCACAATAAATGCCTTTTCTGTGCAAATTAGTCAAAGTACATATCTGCTGCTTGCAAACTAGAGAAAACCTGTACAACCCCTAGAAGAGCAAGCATGTCATGATCCAGTCTTATTGCCAGCCTACTATTAAGAACCACAGATGCAGCAAACTTTTTTCTAAATAACTTATTTAATGTAGTTTTAGACACACAGAAGGATCACAAACACGGCACATTTGAGTTCTCATACACTCCTGCTCTTGTTTCCACTGTTATTAACATCTTAGTTGTCACAGGTAGTAAGCCATCATCCATCCATTTGTATTAACTAAAGTCCACGCGTGCTGGAAGCCAGATTTACTTGGTTTTTACCTATTTTACATAACGTCTTTATCTTTCAGGAACTCATCCAGGAGAGCACATTACCTTTAGTAGTCATGAGTTGTTAACGTGAAAGCTTCTCAGATTTTTTTGTTTTTGACATCTTGGCAGTTTTGAGTCGTACTGGTCAGGTATTTTGTAGGATGCCCCTAACTGCAAGGTGTTTGATGCTTTCTCATGATTAGGCTGGGGCTGTGTGTTTGTGGGAGAGGAAATCACAGAGGTAAAGTGCCATTCTCATCACATTATATCAAGGGTACATCCTACTGATATGACTCATCATTGTTGATGCTGACCTTTGTCACCGCACCTTAGGTACCACTTCCTAGGACTCTTGAATTCAGAGATACTCTTTTCCCCCTCTTCCCTTATGACACTCTTTAGAAGAACGTAACTATACCAACCCCAAATTAGAGAGTAGGGAATTATGCTCCACCTCCTCCTTCTTTACATAAGTCATTTGGAATTCTTCAACATGAGAGATTAGTCTATTGTATTCTGCCCCAGTATTGATTCAATCATTTACTTATGTCAGTGTAGATTTGTGGATATTTATTTTGTCCTATTTTCTTTGTTGTTGTTACTTTTGTGTCCCCTTGACACCTTCCATTACTGTGGCGTTTGTTTTTTTAAAGTATCTCATTACCTTCTGGTATTACAAGATGCTCCAGTGTTATCTCATATATTTCCTGTGCCATTCTAGAATCAACCAGTTCTCTAAGGATCCCTGGTTTCTCTTATGAGAGTATTGTATTAGATGCCAAGATCCGGGTGCCAGATATTCTGGTTGCCACCAGGGGTGTGGTTGCTACTGGAGTGTGATTACTTCTAGACCCTCTCAGCTGACAGAGCAAGGAATGTGTGTATGCATACCAATCTATGCATGTTCATATATCTACAAATATTTCTATGTGTAACATATGGATGTATATTAAGTAAAATTAGAGTCCCTACTTATGATTCCAACTCTAATCCAGTGTCACTTGGATCATTCTGCCTCTTCCCTTTGCTTGCCTATGAATTTCCACTCCAACCAAGAAAATATTACCACCTGACATATATTTACTTCATTGTTCAATTCCAGTGTATGTATATAGTGGCTCCAGAGTTGCTACTCTGTATCTCCATGGGAAACAATTTTGCCAACTAGAGGACAGTGCTTATACAGTATTTCCTTTACCTTTAATTTTCCAGTCTTCACAAGTTTCCGAAGTCATCATCCTTTTCTATCACCCATTTTAGTGAGGTTGTTTTACACATAGATTTAGCCTCAGACAGTCTCTGGGACCCCTTCCTTCTTCTGACCTCTCTTTCTCTTTTCTATTCTTTGTCCTCTGAACTGAGACCCTGTCTTCATTCTGCTAGCCCTTCACCTAGCACAGGCCGTACAGCACAGTTTTGTTTTCTATCCTGATGGAGAAGAGGTGAGTTCCTTCGATGGGATATCATCTCATAGACTTCTTGGGGAACAGCTCTGGAGTCTCAGATTGCTGAAGGATCCTAGGAAATAAGGAACTTTTTCTCTTTCTGGCCTCTCACTGCATTGCATAATATGTTATTCTGATAACCCTTATCCAAAGACATGAGGATGGAAAGGAATTAAAATGGGAGAGGAGGTGGCGAATGAAGACAGGGAATGTGGGCCGGCCACATGGGAGACTGCGCGGAGACCTGCGGTGACTCCGCATGGCATTCAGTCATGCTACCGCTTTCCAGAATGTAGATTTTCCAAAACCAAGCTATCCATGGTGGCAAAATTTTATTTGCCTTCAAACTTGCTCTTCAAGTTTCTCCCTTGTATTTATTTAAAGAAGAAACCTCAGAGTACTAGAATACTTTGGGAAAAAAATCACTCACTCTTTCCTGAAAGGTAATAATCTAAATAGCACTGTTTAAATAATCCTGTTGGCTCTGAGGTGAGGGACTGAGGTCTAAATTGTCATCCCTCATCAAGTCTGTCCCTGGAGATGAAGTAGGAGCCTGACAGCTGATAACTTCTTGCCTTGATAAGCACCTTTCTTATTCTAATTACACCTTTCCATAAAGTAACTTTCCCAGCCTCGCTCCTCACCCCATCCCTCACATCCCCATTTGAAAGGAGCTTATGCAGACAGCTGGTGGACAATGGTGCTCTGGGATGGTTTAATCGGGGAAAGAGAACCTGTAGCGAGTCTTATCTGGGGTGAGGGTCTCAAGCATCCAAGATTGTGTCCCTGTCACCCTGTGACCCATCTTCTTCATGCCACCTTTTAATTTTGGTAGCAATTACGGTGTATATGGATAATGCCCATTAGCATATTCATGGTCATCTCTTCATATTTATTGTCCGCACAACTCATTAATCTTCATCTACTTTGTGTGCTTGACAGCTCAATCTATTTTGCAATCTCTGGGAAGCAGTCATAGCCCCCTAAAGCCTTTGTTTTCCTGTAAATAAACGGTGTTGGGGACCGGAGGACAATGGTGCATCCTGTGGTGATTGACACCAGCCACGGCTACTAATCAGGATGGGACTTCATTGCCAGCTGAGTCGAGTGCATTACGGGGCCATTGTTCCAAAGCTGCCAGGGCAAGAACACACACAGCCAGTCACCTTCGCAAGATGGGTTGATTGTTCTTCAAGATTAGACCGAGTTGCCTTATTATCCATCCTAGACAACAAGGCATCTCACCCAAACAGACGCATTTACAGGAATGGCCAGCGCACCAGGCAGATTTGAATTGCTAATGCATAATCTGCCCGGCACAGATGTGCAATGAATATTTGGATGTTGATTTGCCCGTCAGTTGAGGCGGATGAATTGATGAGGTGATGAGTATTCAGTGATGAGTCCTGGATGATGGCCAACAGCGGAGTCTGAACACTTGCACGCTGATAATCAGATTACCCCAAAGTGCCTTTGCCATAATACAGCAGCAAATTTTGCGACTGTCTAACGGGATATTCTGGTTGGTGGAAAGTTTCCTTTTTATTCTGGTGCAATTACCTGTCTTGCTATGTTTTTCAGACTTGGGAGAGATGTGGAAATTGCCTATCTTTTGACCTTATCTGTTGACTCTTAAGACTACATGTAACATGATGGGAGCTAAATACTTGGGGGTGACCTTGGCTCCACTATTTTCTTAAGTTCTTTGTGTCTCTGTTTCCTTATGTTGAAACAGGTAGAAAAATTCTACCAGCTATGTAGAGCTGATGCAAGGCTAAACTAGTTGATATACATAAACTAGATTCCAGAGCAATGCTGAGGGCATAGCAAGAACTCAACAAACCGTACCCGTCTTCATGGCATTGATCATTTGCTTTCTGTCAATGTTACTGTGCTTAAATACCTTGGATACACTGAAAAGAAAGCTAAACTATTTTCATTACAACAGGATATCTCATAGACTTTCCTCTGCTGCTGTGCCTGGTACATCTCCCATAAAATGGAATATTTCCTATACTTATATATGACTGCAGAACCCTTTTTCCTGAAACATCTTTTGTAGCTTATTTTCCTCTGAATGTAATAAAACATTCACAAAGTTTTGAGAGAAAAACATGTGACTCAAGAATCTTACATACAGCCAAGCTATTTATATAGGAAGATAATGGGAATTATGCTAATGCACATAGTATACGCTCTCTGAAAAAATGTTACTCAAAGATGTGTTCAAAAGAAAGGGGGCACTGAATCTAATGTAGCAACTCAAGAACATCAGATAAGAACTGGTAAGAGGCAGTGAGAGCAGTTAACTGCACTGACATAAGTCTAAACAATTACAGTAAATATAGTGTCAAAATTGAGATAGATTAAAATATTTGAAATTATTTATATTCAAATAATGGGATAATGGGTGAGCATGGTGGTGCATATCTGTAATCCCAGCACTGAGGAGGCTGAGGTAGAAGGATTCCCACGAGTTTAGGTCAGCCTGGGCTACAGAGTGAGTTTAAGGCCAGTTTAAAATACATAGTGAGACCCTGTCTCAAATAACAACCACCACCACCACCACCAAACAAACCCCTGCCCTAAAAGGATAATGGCATTCAGCAATGGAGACCCCTCCAAAAAAGAAAAGAGCAAAGAAAAGCAAATATCTTTTTTAAAAGCAGTGGGTGGGGAAGTGTATCTATCCACCTGTTTCTCTTATCTGGTGTAGTAAAGGCAACCTCAGTAGTCTGATAAAGCATTGAAGGCCAATATTATTAGATAAAAATAAAACAAAACCTATATCAAAACAAAAATTCCTAAATCCAAAGTTTTTCTGCTTATTAGACAAACAAAATTAAACTCTAGATCAAATGTGATTATTCATATGTGAACAAAGGGAAAGTCAAGTCTGGGAATATTCATATTAAACAATTACACAAGTTGCTATGGTTTGAATCTTAAATATTCCCTAAAGGCCCAGGTGTTAACGGCAGGATGGGGAGGGGTGGCAGAATATTTAGGAGGTGCGGCCTAGTGGAAGGAAGTTTGGGTCACTGGGGTGCATGGCCTTGAAGGGACACTGTAGTGGGGCCCTGGCCCTCCTTGTCTTTTGCTTTTGCTTCCCAGTTACCTTGAGGTGAACAGTCCTTCTTTGCAACACTCTCCCAGCATGAAATACGCTTCTGTCATCGGCCCAAATAAACTGGAACAAGTGACAGTGGATGGAAATCTCTGAAACTATGAGCTAAGATAACTGTACTACTAATTTCGATTGCTTTAGTGAAATGAACAGTTAATGTTTAATTGTTTGATCAGTCTTACATGCCCATTTTGTTTTTCTGACTAACTAATTTGAAGATATCAAAATATAATACAACCATTGTTAATTTCCTATCACATTGTCTAAAATTCTGTATTGCTTTTATTGTTTTTATGTAGTTTTATTTATGTTTCTGTGTTTGTTAATATGTCTTGGTTCTTTTACCTTTAAAATAAAATTTAAAATTTTTTTTAAAAATAAACTTATCCTTTTTAAAAGTTTATTGTGTGAAGTATTTGGTCACCCTGAGGAACACACAAGTCAAAGAGTATTAAACTGTTAATTTTATCTTTTTATCTGCAGTCCTTCATGTAAAGTTTGTCCCAAATAATATTAGTAAGATTCATTGTGAAAGTGGAAGAAGTAATCTGAAAAAGTGTTGAACTTCTCTGCCAGGCCCTTGGTGTGGCCTAAGTTTTCCAGGAGCCCCCATTTCTGAGCACTCTGGAGAATGCCTATGTATCTGCCCAGCTCTCCCTCTGGTGACTGCTTACCTTTCCTTTCCTGGTACATCTCCTGCTCCTCTCCTAGGTATATGAATCTTGTCTGATCTTAGATACTGGCCACTTGTTTCATTAATTTAAGGGCAGGACCCTGAACCAAGAAACGTCTGTCATAGTCCCTCACTGACATCTTTTCTATATCTGAAATATGGTCAGTTCCTTTTTGGTGACAGAACCAGTTATTTATTTATTTATTTATTT